CAGCGAGAGAGAGAGAGAGACAGAGCTATAGGAGACACAGCGAGAGACAGAGACAGAGCTATAGGAGACACAGCGCTATAGGAGACACAGCGAGAGAGAGAGAGAGAGACAGAGCTATAGGAGACACAGCGAGAGAGACACAGCGAGAGCGAGAGAGACAGTGCTATAGGAGACACAGCGAGAGAGACAGGGAGGGTGAGAGAGGGAGAGACACAGAAATGGGGGCCGAGAGTGGGAGGGCTCTTCATATCGAGTATACACCCAGCCCCGTGCTCTGCTGGGGACACCCTTGCCCCCACAGCTCCCGCTGCCAGAGGGGCAGGGCCCTATCGGACCCTGCTTGCCGGCCGCACGGTGACATTGCTCCCGTTACAAACAGTTGGGGAGGGGGCTTTCTGAGATTGGCGCCTCTCTCGCGACGGAGGGAGGGGATGAGCCAACAGGAGTTACGTATCCCCCTCCCTGCCACCCAGCACCCCCACGACCCAAGGAGCAGGGGGCAGTGCCTACCTGTCGACAGGAAGGGGTTGGAGGCTTTCACATTACTGGAGACCAGGGCGTCTAGATCCACCAGAGCGGCATTCGGTCCCAGGAAGGATTCGGGTGTTTTGCGAGCGGCCGGGATCGGTTTCGAGCTGGGAGCCTCGATGGGAGAGAGATCAAACAGATCCGGTGTCTTCACCCCGTCTGCCTGCAAGATTGGAACCTCCCCTGCCAACAGATCCGGCTCACCTACAGAACAGAGAGCACCCCCCCAACCCCATCCTCGGTTAGACCCGCACTCGGAGCACCGTGCGCAGTTCCCCGGTCTCCGTATCCCCCCCATCCTCGGTTAGACCCGCGCTCGGAGCACCGTGCGCAGTTCCCCGGTCTCCATATCCCCCCCATCCTCGGTTAGACCCACACTCGGAGCGCCGTGCGCAGCTCCCCAGTCTCCATATCCTCCCCATCCTCGGTTAGACCCGCACCCGGAGCACCGTGCGCGGTTTCGGATTTGCTCGCTGCACGGGGGACAGGGACCGGTGGGACGATAGGAGAAAACAGGAACAGAAACAGGAACAGACCTGCATTGCTCTCCAAGGTGACTGGAGTAGCTCGTAGCGCATCGAACTCAGCAAAGTCATCCTCGTCTGTTTTAGCATCGAGTGTTTCATAGCTCTGTGTGGCTGCTGGGGGGAGCGGGGGAGAGGAGAGAGAAAGAGAACGTGAGAGACCCGCGAACCAGAAAGAGTGAGGGGGGTGGAGAGCGGCGAGCGAGGTGGGGGGAGCCGCAGGCGAGAGCGAGAGAGAGACAGGGCGGGGGCGCGAGGGCGACAGCGAGAGCGCGACAGCGAGCAAAAGAGAGCGCGACAGCGAGCAAAAGAGAGCGCGAGAGCGAGCAAAAGAGCGCCAGCGACAGAGAGCAATAGAGCGCCAGCGACAGCGACAGAGAGCTCGCAACAGAGAGAGCGCCAGCAACAGCTACAGAGAGACAGAGAGCGAGTGCGAGAGAGAGAGAGAGCGCCAGCGAGCGAGCGCGAGCGCAAGCGCGATCGCGAGAGCAACAGCGAGAGAGAGAGCGCGCGCACGTGACAGAGAGAGACACAGACAGACGGTCAGAGAGCGTTCATATCCGACACACATCACAAAACACAGCAACAGGAGGTC